TAAAAAAAAACCAAGAGCTTCCTGTTTTCTCCTATAGTGGCTGCATCTTCAAAATATACATCAAATCCCATAGATTTTGATTCTTATTTAGACCATCAGTTTAACAAAAGTGGTTTAATTTCTCATGAGTTTTTACTAAAATAAAAAACATCATTTTGTAGTATTATGACACAAACGAAACAGTAGTTAGTCCAAAACACAAACRAGTATAAAGATAAGTGAGTCATGCATATTGAAAAAGCTGGTGTCTGATTTGACCCTACCTTGATGATGTCCTCAGGTGTTCGCTCCACTTCTTTTAACCGTCTCAGAACCACCTCTTCRTTGGCAGAAATGCTGAGCTCCTGTATCTCCAAGGCATCGATCTCCTTTTCTATTCTGTACAAAAAAACAATCAACTGCTCATGAAAGTGGCACAAGTCTGATTCATGCAGTCACACCAATGGTTAACATGAACGAGTTTTATTTTGGTAAAGTTTATCTGTTCCATGATTGTCTCCATCAGGTGAAATGCTATAAGAAATTATCATTCAGTTAAAATAATTAACATCTTTTAACATCTTTTTCCTCATTTTGTGTCTGCTTCTATTTGTAATGTTATCACTCCTATTGTATTGTATTTAACTTTAATAGGAAGTGTGATTTTTCCATGTGAAAGGTGTTCTATTAGTTAGATGTACCTACTTATTAAATCACAGGACTTGTGTAATTTGTAGACTCAGCTCAGCTCATTATGTATCCAGTGTGGGATGTGCTGAAAGTCTGACTGTAATTTCAGTTTTGTTTTGTTTTTTCACATTCAGGTTACCTGAGGATGTTGCTCTGCAGCTGATCACTCTGCAGCTGCTCGTCTTGAGCTTGAAGCCTCATGGCCTCCTGTTCCTCCTCCGACTGCTGACTCAGACCGTCCATCAGCCATTGTTCCCTCAGGGATTTTTTCTGCCAGTTAAACACACCAACACACAGCAAATGCTGAAACAAATKTACACAGTTTCTACAGGGTTTTATATAAAGATATGTCTACATATAAGGATCAACTCAGAACGGATGGACTCTTGGCTGCTTTTAAATTTTGGACTGTTAAAAGACAAACTCTAGTTAGTTTTGATGTGAATAAAAGCCAGTTTTTATTGTCAAGTTGTGATTAAGGAATGCTCTATAGGAGAGATCAGTACACAAAGTGCTGCAAACTAATGATTCCACCCCTGCACTATTTCTTCGTTTTTTGTCTTGAGAAAATTATAATTTGAACATCTGTGACAACCAATAGACCAAGAACAAAACATTTTGTCAGCTACTATAAATCAGTATCTAAGTACAAAATGAATTGTAGTTTTGAGCATTTGCCTAAATTGTATACAATATAATAGAAGAAACACATTTTCATAAACCTTTTAAAATGTCCCTACCTGTGTCAGAGTGACCCCAATACATGCTTGTTTTTGATTTTCTTTATATTTAAATGGATTAGTTTTTTGTATTTTTTGTGAGCTTTGTTTGTTGAACTCACAGTGAGAGATAACTTAAGTTGTTAATACCTTTATATACTGGAGTTTTAATTTCTCCTCCTCAATCTGTCTTCTTTTCTTGGCGATGTCTTCTTGGATTCTTCTTTTGTCCTGTGGACAGAAAGTAGACGCTTACCTCATGTGTGCATTTTGTAGAGTGGAAACTATTCCACCTGTTGTGTCCCCCCTGCTGACCTTGAGCTGACGAACGGACACTCAAAGTCACAAGGCAGCGAGTGGTCTGCAACCTGTGGCTCTAGGACCACGGGTTACCATTAATGCCATTAATACCATTAATAATGCAAGGACCAAAACAAATTGATCAGGTTAGTAAATTACCAAATAACTTCCTTTAAAATCCATCAAACATTTGAACAGTTTTAACACATTTGGTGCAAGTTGCTGAGGAAAACAATTTATTCACTGACTACTGTACTACTGGTCATTACAATAAAGTCATTCTAAAAACAATGAGAAACAAAGTCGATATTTGCCCTTTGATAAAAAGTAATAAAAGTTAAAGTAAATTGAGCTTTTTGCATCATTAAAAAGAATTTTAGGTTTTTTTTCCACTCTGATTTTATGCTTTATTTCTTCCAAATGGGACACTTGTGTTAATATTTCCTCATAAATATAAAATAAACTCATATAAGTCTGTAGAATTTGTAGTTAGTGTCAATAAATAGGGGAAAACAAGCATTTCTTTTTTACTTTTTCTTGCCAACAAATGTCAACAGTTTATTAGATTTCTTTTAATTTAAGAAACAAACAAACTTTCACAATCTAGCATTTAAATAAAACCAAATAAGTTATTGGTTTTGTCACTCTGGTTAATTTATTTTAGTAGAAGAAGGAGCAGAAATGACTATTTAGGTTATAGATCTCTGCTCTAACTCTAACCTTTGTGTCTGTGTCCGACGGTTCACTATAACCTGCACAACCTGACATACTGTACTTATTAGCACCTCCAGCAGAAATGAGAATTCTCATTCATCAAAGAAAACAATATCATTGGCTTTTGGACACTCCAGTCTTGGAACATTAAATACAAAACACAAATTGTAAAACCCGTTCATTGTTTACTCCAAATCATATCATCTGTCCGAGGGTCTTGGATGGGACACTAGGACAGTCACTGATGGCTAAAGTTAGCACGTTGATCCAGCATCAGTGTGGCACTTAGTCCCAGTGAAAGAGGATCCCCCGGTGACGTCTGGTGCTATTCATAGCATGTCTCCGACTGAAATGTCTGCGCCATAAAAATCATTTCACACAGACAAAGAGTGAAAGGAAAAAAAACATTTAGTCTAACAATGACGAAATGCAAAAAAGGGAAATATGTTGCAGCTAAAACTGATTCAGATAAACTGATTTCAGTTTATTTATAAAGTGCCAATTCACATTAAGTGAAGTTATTCATTTAATAAATTAAAGTTAGTCATCTAATGAAGCCAAAACACTGCATCAAATCTTCACTTCATCCCGAAAGCATATCCTGAGCAGCACATTTCTTATACAATATTTAATGAAATGATTCTGCTGCATTTAAAATTGAGTTGAATCAAAACAAGCTTTTGTTACAGTGAAATATTAATATTCTACAACGATGTTTTTCAATCCCAGAAAAAGACTGCAGGGATTACACAGCAGGGACTCTTCAAATATAAAAACTTAATATTGTTTCCTGTCATGTCTTTTCTAAGCATCTATGTTTAAAATATATATCTTTCTGAAATTTYCCCTTAATTTAATACATGAAACTCCCTTTTCCATCCATTCATCCATTTTCTAATGAGTATGTGTGGTTAGACTGAGGCAGCAACAGCTCCAGGAGGGATACTCCTTCTCCCCAGCACCACTTTCCAGCTCTTCCTGGGGAATACCAGTGCTTTCCCAGTCTAGATATAATACATAATCCCTGTAAGTTCTGGTCCTGCAGATGGCAGATCAGATGCCTGAACCATCGCAGCTGACTCTTTTTGACTCAGAGAAGCAGTGGCTCTGAGCCAGCCCTACAAAGGAAGTTGGTGTCACCCATGTGTATCCAGGATCTCACTCTTCTGGTCCATACCTGATGACCGTGGGTAAGACAAGGAAGGTAAACAGACGTAGAAGAGAGCTTTGTTTTTCGGCTCAACTCTTTCGCCAGCATGACAAACCAAAGGCTGAGGATGAGGCCCCAATCAACAGATCCAGCTGCTGAGGGACCAAACAGCTCTGAAAAGGAACCTCGGTACCGCATCCACCCCCACCTTCCATCCCCACAGAATGCCTCAATCATTTCCCACACCTACAAAATACATGTTGACTGGAGCCAAACACCAATGACCACCTTAGCAACTCTACAAAGGTAATGTTTAGTGATGCACGACCAGGACGAAATCCACACTGGCCCTCCTGAATCCAAGGTTCTACGATCAACGCCTCCCTTCCAACACCCGTTTTACCAGAACCTTCTAGAAGTCAACTGAAAATCCTTCTCATTGCCCTCACCAGATTCCTCATATACACAGGTTTTTGCTTCTGCAACCACAGAGATAAAGTCCTTCTGTCCACCCTTTGACTGTCAAATCCCAAATACCTCTTTTCTCAGCGTGACGGCCTTCATTACTGCTGATCTCCACAAGCAGGTCCTTCACTAATCAGGCAACAACTCTTTTTACTTCCTGATTTTCTCTCTTTACCTGAGTGTCTGCTTTTCATCCAGATGTATGCAAACTCAGCTTCCACAATCATAGAATATTGATAGCAGGAGTGCTACACTCCTGTATGTTGGTATGTAGGTACAGTATGTTGTTCTTCTTGTGCGCTCAGTTTAGGGATAAACGTTGGTAAAAGATTGAAAGTGAAAAATGACAGAATAAAAAAAACATTAAAAGCAGTTTGATTTGTGTGTTGTTCATGTTTATTCTAATTATCTCCTGTATTTTCTGRGCAATAATCTTTTCTTCTAGAGAACTTCTCATAAATACCATTGAGAAGTCTTCCACCTAAAAACAGGAGGTCCCCACCATCATCAAGTACAAAATTAATGCAATATTATAATCCTTGCTTGTTTTGAGATGGGCCTTTACCGTGATTGCCTGGATCCTCTCTTTCAGCAGGTCAGCCTCCTCCATGACAGCCTACAAGAAAGACAAGCACAGTGAATAAATAGCATTAGGACAGGATTTAAGTCATTATTGTTTACACACTGATAACGCATGTAATTAAGTTCTTGTTTTGCTTCCTCCCTCTTCAAAATCAACAAACCAACACTATATAAATAGTAAAGCTTAAAGATAGACAAGTTTCAATGAAAAATGCAAATATTGTTAAAAAAAAACGTTAACAGGAAAGGGCAAAAATGGCCGACATCCATTAGTAAGGGTGTGTTTTTGTTCACAGTTTGTGCTTGATATAAAAGAACAGGTCAGGGAATGAAGGAGTATTAGGTAACAGTATAATTACTTATTCATTTAACAAAAGACAAATGAAATAAAGAAATCAGAGTATGTAAAACTAAATTAGTAATTGCCCGTTAGGAATTTCAAACAGTATAGTGGTATTGTTTAATTTATCACCATTGACACATCTCTAACAAAGCAGGATCTTTGTCAGTTTGCTGCTCTGAAGCATACAGGTGTGTGCCACAAAAYACCAAGGCAAAAACACATCCTTAAACAATTAAACAAACATCTGTAGCTGTCCAATAATTCAAATGTCACTTTCAAACATTTTATTGTCCAGAGAGAAATGTTAACCACAAGTGGAAAAYGCAACAGCGGCCAGTCTTCTCAGAAGTGGACATTCCARCAAATTTACCCTGAAGGTCAGACTGTGCATTACTGAGAGAAAAGAGCTGCAACTCTCACACATGCAGGTCTCTGTTAGCAGGTTAAAGGTCAAAAGGTCAACAACAATTACTTGAGGACTAAAGCTGAAAGGTTTGTTTGGGAAAAAAAGTTTATTTTCTGTTAAAAGAAAGCACATTTTTCAAAATTTTGTTTTGAAAGACAAGAATCACACCTTTAATGCTCAGCAGCCATTAAATTCAACAAACCATCAGAACCAGCAGAATCTACTAAGCAGGGGTGATGAGCTGACAGTCTGGGCTTGTTGGGCAGCTACAGCAGGGCCTGCGCACCATTCAGTCACTGAGTCAACTCCTTTAAATACCAAAATATTCTAAACTTAATCCTGAGGTTTAATCCCTAATCATTGTTACTGTTACTCCTGTAGTTGTAGGATCAGGAGATGATTGTCCTTCATAGGTAAATAGCCTAAACCAGTGGTGTCCAAAGTCGGTCCTCAAGGGCCGCTGTTCTGCATGTTTAAGGTGCTGCCCTGGTTCAACACAGCTGAACCTAAGGAGTGCTTAATTAGTGGGCCTCTGCAGACCTTGATGGCAAACTGTGAAGGTAAATCATTTGAATCAGCTGTACTGAAGCAGGGACAAATCTAAATCTAGCAGGAGACTGGCCCTTGAGGACCGGAGTTGGACATACCTGCCCTTAACCAAACCTAAACTTAATTCACACCTTAGTCCTAAACCTGACCCACAGTGTATCCTCCAATGGGGACTGAGCTTTGGTCCCCATGAGGAAMAGAGTCCTCACCAGGTTGTGTGCACCAGGAAAATGGTCAAAAATGGTCCCCACCAGGTAGCAAAAACATGTACACACACATACACGCGGTGGTGGGCGGTAATGACATTGAGGTGCAAATGCCTTTACTGGGTTGTACAAAAGCAAAAAGAAATGTAGATTCAGAACTGAAGAAATATTTCAAAAAAGGGAGTGACCACATTTTGAAGCTTTATTTATATGATGACTCAGCATGATTCAAATTCTTTGCTGATCCTGCAAGGGTGTCCTGATCCACGAGGGCCACAATCCTGTTGGATGTGAACCTGCCCCAACACAGAGATTAGAGAGGTAGTTAAATCACTGAATCAGGTAAACAGGTTAAACCTGCAGGATAGMGGCCCTCAGAGACCAGGAATGGACACTCCTATTGTAGACTGTTAAAAATAAACAGTTAAAGATAATAAATGAGCAGAAAAAATGAATTAATTTAATGACATGCCTGTGCCCTTCCTACATATTTCCCACAGTGCATTGTTGCACTTATGGGTGTCCATTTATATTATGATTTGACAGGTAGAGAGTTGGGGAGAAACGCAGCATGTCTGTGCCATCTGTCAGACAGGTGATTGGWCCAGGCCTGACTAATGGGAACAGTTATTAGCATGGTTGTGCTGGCAGTTTGTGGTATGATGCTGAACTGCCAGAGCAGGATGGTTGCTAAACATAAATCTGCACCTGACCACAGCTGATACAGAGAGAACAACAACATACCGTTGCTGTTTAAAATATCAACAAATAACCAATAAATTAACATAGTGAGGCTGTCATGTGGAGGAAATGGACAAAGAAGGTGATACAGTAGCAACATGTTGAATCAGATCCAAAGTAGGATTCATGTTTCCCTTTTTAACAACAGTGTGAAACTATAAACTATAAACCATTTAGTTCCTGCAGCAAATGTTCGAGAGGCACAGTATACCCTTGTGAAAACACACAATTTATAGTGCTGAGTCCCATCTCTGACTCTGATCAAATAATCATGATCAGTTTGATATTAACTCTCCCAATGTGATCTTATGTTTGGTTCAGTGACATTCTTCCACCACTTTCCAAATAACATTTGGAGATGTTGCAGTAATTAAACACTCCTAAAAGATGCTCTGCTGTATTTGCTCTCTTTGCCTTAGGGCACCAACACTGCATGATGCTAAAGACTCTGACAAAATAATTGGTTCTTGAGAATAAAAATAGGCTATCTCTTTAGTCACCCTCTACAAAACAGACTGGGCTCCCAACAGAGAGAAAACGGTTCATTCCATCTGCCCCATGTTGTGATATGAAAAGGCAACAAAGGTAAGTTATTTGCTATGATGAGTCGGGTTTTTKGTAACTATATTGCTATTTTAAACTAAATTTATATTATTTTCTCCAGTAGAAAATATCTATTAGCTACTTTAAGCTTTTACATATATAGTCTTTTGGTACTTTTAGTTAGCCTTTGCTAACATTTGACTAAATATAGTGTCCTGATGCATCTAAATATAAATTAATAGACTTAATATAATAATTAATTCTTAATACTTAATATCTTAATTAATAGACTAAATATAGCTTTTAGCTAGTATTTTTGCCACTTTTGGCTTTCAGTTCACCTTTAGTTTATTTTTGTTTTTTGTTTTTTTAGTTTCTTGTAGTGTTTTGCTCTTTTTAGCTATTAGAGTTGGTCTTCTTAAATACATTTAACTTTTAGCTAACATTTTGCTACTTTTAGTTTAGCTCCTTTAGCTTTTWTTTAGTGTTTTGCTCCTTTTAGCCTTTAGCTAATGTTTTTCCTTCTTTAGCTTTGATTTGGCTGCTTTGAGGTTTTTCAATACTTCTTTTAGCTTTTAGTCTGTATTTTGTGTCTTCTAATTATTAGCTAGAATTGCTATATTTTACCTTTTAGCGATAATCTGTTGTTTATACTTTAATAACTCAGTTTCAGTCATTTAGCAATCCTTCTCCTCACTGAATGTCTCAGAAAATACAACTTCCCAGTTATTTTTAAGTATTTAAATGTTCTCTAGGTGTGACTTCCAATGTTTTAATGCTGCAWGGTTATTTTTTTCTAACCAAGATGAAATTTACAAAGTCAATGAAAAGATTCTGAAAGGAAGAGTTTATTATATGTAAATATATGCAGGCAGTGCCGTGACAAGTGTGGACATGCCACAAAGTCCACATTATTTTCAGTTATTAGTGTAGGGAACACTCAGGTCAAAGCCATTCCTTTCACATTTTAGATGTAGGTGTGATATTTTTTAATATTCACACTCTGCTGCCTACACCCACACATTCTGCTTAATAACAAGCCTTTCACTCCAACAAGGCCAGCACAGGTCCATCATTCATTTTTCTTTTGGACGACATTAACTGTTTGATTTCCAACTGTTTGATTTCCAAATGCACAGTTGTAGTYAGAGGATTCATCTTCAGAGGAAATCTTTTTAAAAAATGCTGCAATTAGATTTATTTAAAAATGTATCCAGCTGTCAAGATGATCAAGGCAAATATGTCTCAAGTCCAATAAAACCAGCGATATTGTTGCTTCATCAGATTAATCATTATTTCCATTCATTTTTACATTTTATTTATGGTGCTACTTTTAAATGTCATTGATGAGAATTTAGAGAATAAAATAAAAGTTAWATAAAGATCAAGCTACATCTGATGTCATTTAATGATCAGAAACAACAGTCTTATAGCAATTTAAAACTGTTTTGGTTAAACCTTGCAGAATGCACAGCCTTGCAAGAAGAGACATTGCTCAGATTATGTGTTTAGGATGACTCTCAGCCATAAGGGTCCATATGGGCACCAGTGATCCTTGTGACCCTGAAAGGAAGAAGCGGGTAGAGATAATGGATGGATATTTGATCTCATTTGGTTCATTATTCCTTATGGCCACAAAAAAGTGAAATATATAACTAAACTGACAGACTGACCTGTAGGATCAGATGTTTCCTGTGAACAAGATAAAAAAAAACACCAACATGGGAACAGTTGGTGTTCATTGCACATCATGTATACTGTAGAAACAAATCCCACTAAGCACTGAATGATAGGAAGAGAAGGAGCAACAGAAGGTCATGCTGCTGGTTAGTTTATCCACCTGTTGACACTGCTAGGTTTGATCCTGCACGGCTGAAAATAGAGTCACTGTCTGCCTTGCAGCTGGACCTGACTGATTCTACAT